GACGGCAAACAGATTAAGCTCCAGATATGGGACACTGCGAGTCAGGAGGCGTTCGGTTCGATCACCCGTTCGTACTATAGCGGCGGCGCCGGCGCTCTACTGGTCTACGATATTACCCGTAGGGTTACGTTCAACCATTTGACCACGTGGTTAGGGGACGCGCGCAGCACTCGAACTCGAATATGGTGATCATGTTGATCGGCAACAAGAGTGACCTCGAGTCACGCCGTGAGGTTAAGAAGGAGGCGGACATACCTATTCAGGAGGCGGTGGTAATCCTCGGGCTCGCGGGACCAGCGTTTGCGGTACTGTCGCCAAAACACCCGCAACAGTGCTGTGGCGTCCGCTGTGATGGCCGCGCTGTCCGGCGACGCCGACCCGTTGGCCGCGATGTTGGCCACGGCTTTGGCGACCCAAACGCTGTTGGGCTGAAGTCTTATAGACTCCCCGTAGTGATGGGGTCCACCTTGTTGGGCCGCCCGTCGCGATTGCACCTGGCCGTAGCCGAAACACCAACAACAGCAATCGCACACGCAATCAACTAACTTACTATTCATATTATATTTATTATTATTAATTTTAATTAATAAATACAATAAAATAATAACTACAATAATCCTAAACACAGACCCACAGTGTGTTTGTGCAGCACATCTGTACAGTCTGTACGATAGTGTGTAACACCAGTCATGTCATATGCCTATTTGTTTAAGTATATCATTATTGGCGATACAGGTATAGTCATTAACAAATCATTTTAATTAACCATGCTCATTCTTAGTATACTGTTGCCCATTCCCAATAATAGTATTACCATGATAATTTATTAATATTATGATAACCCTATGTAAATATGGTGATGATGACCATTGCCCTCGACTTATTGACATTGACTCATAACATACTGCATATACTATCTAACCAGTCAATATAATGTGTCCGCGCGGATTTGTGATTACAGCTAAACTAGAATAGCTAGATCAAATTAGTAAAAAGTAAAATGAAGTTCCACATGTCTAGTTTTTTGTATCAAAAAATTACTAAAATCACGTGACTAGAACATAGAAATTGTTGGGTCATTTCGAAATGTCATGGTTTTATGCAAGTTGAAAGGGGGTGGGAAGGGGGCGGGTATGCTATTCAAAAGAGGGAATGTCAACGTGTTGTAATAACTTAGAACCACTATCATCGGATTGCTGGAATTAGCACAGCAGCTCAACAAACTTTTGCAAATTTTACATGTTAACCTATGAAACTTGAAAATAAAATTAGATTTAAATATGACTAACTATATTATTCAATACTACATTAAATGCTAATTATGTTAATAAATTTTTTTAAATTTCATTCTAAAGTTAAAATATCCTAAATTGAAATATCAAGTTTTAGCTAGAAAAATCTAAAAACTTAATATTTCAATCTAAAATATTTTGGCTTTAGAATGAAATTTTTCAAAAATTCGTTTTACTAACATTATCAGAATTTAATGTAGTATTTAATGACATAATTAATTATATTTAAATCTAATTTATTTTTAAGTCCCATAGGTTAACATGTAAAATTTGCAAAAGTTTGTTGAGCTGCTGTGCTAATTCCAGCAATCCGATGATAGTGGTTTTGAGTTATTACAACACGTTGACATTCCCTCTTTTGAATAGCATACCCGCCCCCTTCCCACCCCCCTTTCAACTTGCATAAAACCATGACATTTCGAAATGACCCAAAAATTTCTATGTTCTAGTCACGTGATTTTAGTAATTTTTTGATACAAAAAACTAGACATGTGGAACTTCATTTTACTTTTTACTAATTTGATCTAACTATTCTAGTTTAGCTGTAATCACAAAAACCGCGCGGACACATTATATTGACTGGTTAGATATTAATGTGTTTACATATATTTCATACCCTTATAACCGGATGGTATACCCCTTAGGTGTAGGCAAGTCGTGCCTACTGTTGCAGTTCACGGACAAGCGGTTCCAACCGGTGCACGACCTGACCATTGGGGTGGAGTTCGGCGCCCGTATGATCACAATCGACGGCAAAAAGATTAAGCTCCAGATATGG